CCAGGAGCCACGCAACACTCGACTCTGCTGTTTACTCACCCGCAACGAGGTGGCGAGAGTCCGGGCCCCACGCGAGGCAGGTGACATCATCCTGCAGGCCGCCGTACCCGCGAAGCAGCGACAGCGGAGCGATCTGGTGCCGCCTCCCCGGGGTCCGCCACACCTCCACCTTCTTCCCGACGCCGGCGGCGATGAAACGGTCGTCCGGACTGAAGCTGATGGCACGGATCTGAAAAAACACAGGCCAGGAGCAAGGGCGGGATTCGAAGGGTGGCTGGTGGGGCGATAGAGCTGGGTGAGAGAGCTTGCCGTGGGAGCGCCTGTGGGTCGCTCTGGAACAGCTTGCTTTGTTCTTGGTCGCGCACTCGAGGCGTCCGTCAGGTCACCCGTTGGTGCGCGAACCGTTTCCGCGCAACAAACAAAGCAAGAACAGCGAGTCAAGGCATAAAGTGTGCGACCGATCGGTCGATGTACTAAAAGATTGGTCGCTCCACAACCGGGATGTTGCCAATGCTGAACAAGGGTACTCGATAGAAGGAGGAATTCTCTCGAATGCCAAGAGAACGCCAAAAGCAACTCTTCCCCAGGAATGTTTCCGCACAAGTTCTTTCCTGAGCAACCAAGTCGTGAATACTATTGGGAAAAATAAATACTCATACAGAAAGACTACCCGTTCGAGATATATCCACAGTCGAATGGGTTGTGGTGGTGAATAATAGTATGCGTACCTTTTTCTTGAAGTTGAAGCGGTGCAAAACGACCCGCCGCTGCAGGTTGACCAGGAGCGCTCTCCCGTCCACGTCCAGCACAAGCAGCAACCGGCCGTCTCGAGAAGGGGTGAGGAGGCGTATCTCCTTACGGCTCTCGAATGGCAGCACGGACGAGCTGTGGTTCACCAGGTCTATCAACAGCTGGGTGCACCAAAAAACGAAAGCCACAACAAAGAACGGTACCGCCGGGGAAATGGACAAGGGGTGGGACGTATTGAGGAGATACATGTAGCAGTGCACAGGTTTATAATCTCGAGTTATAGATTGCATAAAGTAGTTGGAATGGATATGGTTGTTGGCTGCTTGATGTTGCGTTGGCTTGATGGGGTGAAAACGAAGTGGCCTACATCAGCATCTCTGCCTTTGTAGTCCGTACAATAGATACATACAAGTAGCAAGCTGACGTGTGGGTTATTTAAAATATACAGGGGGGGACATTGGTTGTCCAAAAGAACAAGACATCTTTGCATGAACGCCAAAGAGTTCACGTCGGAAGGCATTATGCAGAAAACGACCTGAAACTGATAAATGAGCATTCGGGTTCTTGAAGGGGGCGTGGTTCGCCGTGTTCGATTCCAAGCGGAGACTGTCGCGCATTTTCTACATAGCGCACCAGCGAGAGCAGTTGAGTTTTCTGGGGAGCGGGGCCAAGCATGGATGCACTGGCGTCGAAAAGGAGTTGCGTCATCAAGAGAGACAAAAGTATCGCAACAAGTGGTCTCCTTACGACTACCAAATGCAAGCAGTAGCAGAGGTGCGGGGGGGGGGGATGATATCCCACGTCACACCGACGATGAAACCCAACCGGGAATGTACAGCAGTACCAGGAATGCCTGGAGTAGCTTACTGGGCGACGTCTTCTACCTCGCTTCACTGACTAAACGGCGTGAACCACCCTCCGAATTTTCATCATCACACGCTTCACTATCTGGAGGTACGGCAGTAGTGATCCTATCCCAGAAAGGAGTCAAACACGCAACGCTTCTAACACGATCCCCTGCTGCATTGCCATCAGTGTACAGGTATTGAGTAGTGTAGGGTTGTCGCACATCGCAGCTGTGTGCCGTTTACAAATTGACATACACTTACACGGGGTGCTCCTGCTCAGTTATCTCCTGCTGCTACTCTCAGCCTGGGCCACTTGTTCTTATTCTGCTGTCGGCGGGCCTATTGAGTGATTTGAACTATTTGAATGGCCCCAGCGCCGGAGGGCCACAGCCGACGAGATCATGACATCGGCAGGCAGCCAGTGACACCATATCTTGCCATTTAATCTGCTGTTTTTTCTCGACACAGCCAAGCACCCTTGACCGAAGCCTACGACAAGGGAAAACACTGACCCACAGCCACAGGGGAATGTGGGCAACCGCATGACATAACCATGGTAGAGCTCTCTCACTCTCTCACTCACCACGCGGTTGCGCACAGGGGAGAGAACGCAGGTGCCGTCTGGGGGGAGGAAGGCCACATTGCCGTTGCCATACACCGAGCCCAGCAGCCGAGACAGGCCGTAGCCGAACCTCATGGCAACTTAGCTTCTACCAACAATACGATCGACAAGAAGCTCCGAAGATACTCTGTACGGTCTGGCTACCGTGGACAGCTGCAGTCAGCAGTCAGAGATGCGGCTGTCCAGACAGAGTCACAGAGAAAGAGAAAGAGCCAGAGGGGACTTCGCAGATGTACGTAGGAAAAACGCATACCTCAGCTATTGGGGGGGTCGTACATCGACGAGCCGTCGAGGGCGCCTCTCGTGTCCACACTGCGCGTGTGCCAGGTGCCAGGCAGCAACGGGCCTGCAACGACGAAAATAGGTGACGATGCATGTGTGTTGTTTGTTTGCTCACAATGCCGCAGCCCACGCCCCCACATACACTGCTGCGTGGTGTAGATTTCGTAAACCAACCATGGATAGTCCTCTCCTCGCGCACATGATGCCCACTGCCTGCGCATGATGTGTGTGTGTCCAGTGTGGGGTGCGACATGAATTGCACAAGCAGAAGTAGGTTGTTCAGAGGGGTTATTCATGAGTTTAGTTCGTTGTCGGCTTCAGTGTGCCGCACCCGCTGCAACGGCGCTGAATCTACAAGCGACACAAACACCTGTGCATTGAAACCTGTGTGCAGGAATTTTCCTTTGTCGGCAATACTTCACATTTGAAATGGTATGGATTTTGTGATTTGTTCGCAACAAGCGGCGAAGTACTGTAAAAACAGGCAGCAAAGGTTGCGTTTTGTTTTTTTGCCACATCGCCGCCCCGTTTCTGTGGAGCACTGCGTCTGCTTCAGTAAACTAGTCATACTACTGCTTGTGTCATTTCGCTCACTGCTTCTGTGCTCTTGTCGGTCCTGTCTCGGAAGAGCAACGCTGTCTCCATGGGAACACATGTACGGGTGCATCCGAGTCGACTCGATTGTGCGGCAGTTGCGCTGGGGCTGGCGCACAACATACGTTACGGTTATGGTTTCACGGCACCGGTAACAGGTGCGTTTAGATTTAGATTCCTCTCGCCTCTCCCTCTCCCTCTCCCTCTCCCTCTCCCTCTCCCTC